CATGGGCAGAGGCATCTTTCACTAGACCAGGTTGCTCAAAGCCCCGTCCAACCTGACCTTGAACACTTCCAGGGATGGGGCATCCACTACGTCTCTGGGCAACCTGGTCCAGTGTCTCACCACCCTCATTGGAAAAATTTCTTTCCTTATGTCTAGTCTAAATGTACCCTCTTTCAGTTTAAAACCATTCCCCCTTGTCCTGTCACTACAGGCCCTGCTAACAAGTCTCCATCTTTCTTATAAGCCCCCTTTATATATTGAAAGGCTGCAATAAGGTCTCCCCGGAGCCTTCTCTTCTTCAGGCTAAACAACCCCAACTCTCTCAACCTTTCTTCAAAGGAGAAGTGTTTCATTCCTTTGATCATTTTTGTGGCCCTCCTCTGGACTTGCTCTAACAGGTCCATGTCTTCCTTGTGCTGGGGACCCCAGAGCTGGATGCAGTACCCAGGTGGGGTCTCACAAGAGAGAAGCAGAGGAGGAAAGTATCATGAAAGTATCTTGCTTCTGTTTGCTTCAGTGACGAGTTCCTTGGTTCCTCTAGACTGACTTTTAGAGGTTATGTCTGATTTTGTTTCAAAATATGAATTGACTTTAGTGAATAGCTTTTTTCTTTTCTTCAGCATCTGACAGGCTCACAGAATGGTTGAGGTTGGAAGGGACCTGTGGAAGTCATCTTGTCCAACCTCCCCTGCTCAAGCAGGGACACTTGGAGCCCAGGACCCTGTCCAGATGGCTTTTGAATATCTCCAAGAAGAGCTACTCCACCACCTCTCAGGGAAACCTGTGCCACTGCTTGGTCACCCTCAGAGTAAAAAAGTTTTTCCTGGTGTTCAGAGGGAACCTCCTGTGTTTCAGTTTGTGCCCATTGCCTCTTGTCACTGGGCATCAATGAGAAGAGCCTGGCCCCATCCTCTTTGCACCCTCCCTTCAGGTATTTACATACATTAATAAGATCCTCCCTCACCTTCTCTTCGCCTCTTGTCACTGGGCATCAATGAGAAGAGCCTGGCCCCATCCTCTTTGCACCCTCCCTTCAGGTATTTACATACATTAATAAGATCCTCCCTCAGCCTTCTCTTCTCCAGGCTGAACAGAGCTCTAGTCCCAGTTCTCTCAGCCTTTCCTCACAGGAGAGATGCTCCAGTCCCTTAATCATCTTCCTGACCCTTTGCTGGACACTGTCCAGTAGCTCCATATCCCTCTTGTACTGGGGAGATATGGAGTTACTCTTTTCACATATAACGCTACCAAACCTTTTAAGATATTTCAAACACAAGTTACATGTAAGATGCATTGGGATTTATTTCCATTCCTTTTCTTCTACTTAACTAACATCAGATGATGGCAATATTTTCTTGGCATAACTTGATAGGTCAAAAGATAATGGCAGAGAGGCAGTTAAGTTTTTTTCAGCTTGCAGGGCATTCACATAATGAAGATATTCAGACAAGGCCCCCACTCTGCAGTTACCTAGCTTGTGCCAGACTACAATTTCTGAGACTTTTTTACACTTAAGCCATTCAGTTGTGATTGCTCCACAAAGGATTAAGAACTGATATGTAGTTTTGCTACTGTTAACAGAACAATAAACAGCCATTTGCAAAAGTGGTGTTGAATTAGTTTGTCTTCACACAGCTTGCAGGCAAGTCTACAGGGGGCTCCAAAACTCTTTGCAGTGATCTGTTTTGGATTAAATTAGTGTAATGCAATTTACAGCAAAAACAATTTCTGAACATATCCATTTCTCTTCCTATACTCAATCAGGAATGAAGGAATGAAAGAAGAGAAGAAGGGAGGAGGGAAGAAAAGGATAATATTGCATTCATTCATTCATCATTTCTTTTTCCACTTTTAGACTGTAAGATTATTTCATCTGCTCTCATATGAATTATAATTAATAGCATTAATAAGGTGCTTAGCCTACATTGAAAGAAAATTAATGTTATTAGCCAGAGAATAACTCTCTAAGGCATGTCACATGCAGTGATATTATAACTGTGAATGCTTTAAACATTGAATTCTGTTATACACACATCAGTATGCAAAAGCAGTAGACACACATGGTCCCAAAGCTTATCCAGAGACTTTGTATTTCATATTTTTGACAAGAACTGTTATCATACTCTTCAGTATTGGTTTAACAAGTCACAAACATGAAATATTCAAAGGAGTATTTTATTCATGTGTCTTACAGGTTTTTCTCCTTCTAGCATGAAGATTGCCTTATAATTGAATTATTGTCCAATTAGGTAATTGATTCTCAATAAATAAACAAATGAAAATGGAGACTTGTCTTCTATTTAGAATTCTCAGTCTGAGTGAACTTCTCTGTCTTACTAGAAAGGCTGTTGCTTTTTCTCTTGCAAATGGCAGCTAAAGTCTTCTTTCTGATTCCAGCTGATCTCTCAAATCAGGAACAATATTTCATTTGCATTTCATGGTCCAATCTTGATACAATTTTTTCATCACTGGTACCTGACAGTCCGAACTTCTACTTTGAACTTCTCTCCTACTCTTTTTTTTTTTTTTCATCCACAAGGGTTTTCCACAATATTTCCCACTCAGCAGATAACACATTGTAAGTTTCTTTTAAAATTGAGTTGAAGTTGGTGTTTCTTTTCCTACCAGATGCCAAATATTTCTGATGTACTATAACGCAGTTTTCCATACACTCATTTTTAAATCCTATGCTTGTGTTGTCTTTAATTAGAAGCTTTTACAGCATGTTGTTATATCTGGGCTATTTTGTTCTTATTGCCCTTGCAAGTTACATTCATCTATGCATAAATACTAATTTCTGTCTAGTGAATGATAAAACCTCCCTTTGTGGAAAGCTTATAGTTTTCACTTTTTCAGCTTTTCCAGACAATTTTGTTTGACTTTTCTACTGTAACATCTTCAGAGGCATTCCAAGAAAATACTGGTTACTGACATCAGCAGTACAGTGAATAAATCTACTTTGTCTGACACAGTTGATGCATTAAGACTGGAATTTTCAGTGGAGGTTAAGGGAAATAAGTACCCCCTTCAAATAAAAGAAAAAAAAAAAAAAAAAAAAAGCTATATTATTCCTCCAGACTCCTTTGGAAATGTCAGCCATAACTTTTTTTCATCATTCTAATAATGGAGGAGAAAGTAACCGAGGAACTAAACACATTTTCTACCTCGGAGCAAATACGCAATCTGTCAACAGAGGAGTCTTACAAGACATAAGCAAAACCAAGTAACCAGACCCCCCAACTGAAACAAAATTTGATGCTTGTATACTAGTTTATGACAGATGAGGATCTGTTTCCTGATTGATTAAGCTAGCTCCGCTGCCCCTGATGCTCCTGCAATGGATTGTAAAGGACAATACATGAGGAAACTCATGTGTCTCCTCTCTGAGTTTGTTCAAAATTACTATGTTATCACCACTAAATTTGTATCTCTGATTTATCCCAAGCTTTTTTAATAATATGCTTCTGTCCTACAGTTTGGTTTGTTTGACACATCTCCTAAGAGCTCATTCTGGAAGAGAGCAGTGGTTTTCAATCTGTTATCACCTCTGCATCATTAAATAGTCTGAAACAGCAGCACGTCAGCTGCCTTGGTTTCCAACTTGCTGTTTAAACCCCAGAGCCACGCTCCTGAAGGAGACAGCAAAACGTAATGGCAGCAGCAAATGACCAATTAGGTTGGGATAAGCTAAATATCATGGAACAGAAAAAGAAATAGTCAAATCAAACGCAGATGGTAAGACCAGCTAATGCTCAGTAGCTTACTACAATGCGGATGCAAACAGAAATGACAACACATGCATACTTTTATCTAATGCAGGCACTTCGTTGACCAAATGCTGGTGGCCACTGACAGAAGTGATAAAGATTCAGGGTGTAATACAACTGGAATAAAAGCCACTCTCTCTTCACAAAACCTGATTTACAAAAGAGTTTTTTCTGTTATCTTCCACATTGAAAACCTTTCATACTAAGTGTATCACAGTTTCCCGCAAGGGTTTTCCCCATTTTTGCAAATACTGCACTAAATACATTATGAATCACTAAATGTACTGTGCTGCTGTTTGTCCCCTACCTTCTGCAACTAGACCTCTTGATGCAAAATATGCAAAAAAATATACATGATGCTTAACTACACATGCTTGCATAGTTTAAAAATATATATGCACCAAAGCTGAATATCTATTTACAGCAACTTAATAAGGAAGCAACATTTTCTTGAAGAAAGCCACTTTGCACTGGGCTGTACTGAGAACAGAATCGACTTGGGGTATGTAATGTGAGCTCATCTTTAGCTCCTAATACTGCTGTTCTCCAATATGATTATTTTAAGATCTGAACTGTTAGTTTTTTTCACAGGTGATTACATCTGGAATCAGAGATTCATTCCAATACATCTAGAGATAAGGAAAGCCTGTTGAAAGATGTAACTGCTTTCTAGCCTCAGAGAGAATGGAAAGCTCTGAAGGGCAAATTGTTTGGTTTTGACTATTCTTCATGAACAGAAGTGGACCTCACCTGAGTGACTTCATTAATTCAGAGAACTCACTAAAATAATCAGCAAATTACTTTTGCTAACAGTGCATATTGTAGTCATTTTATTTATTATATCAATATCATGTGGTCACTTTTCGAGTTAGTATATTGTTTTATGAGGACAACCTGCAGAGGCCAGATGGCACCCAGAAGCTCATGGGGTTGGATTCAACTACTCTGCTTCAAATGTCCACAGATAAGGTGTCCATATCTCTGCTAAGTCCATACTGTACAGACTACCTTCATAGTCAAAGAGAACAGGCATTTATAGGACACAATAAATTTGGTCATAAAGTAGATATTACAAGAGGTCAGATTATTGTGCCTTTCTTTCCCCTAAGTATAAAGGACAAGTATGTCGGATATACTGTAGACATCTAAATTACAGAAGTCTGCATTTGGTGGACATGAATGCAAGTCTTCCATGAATTCCCTCCATTGATGTTAGAAGCACATGTAACATACCTACACTCCAGTCCATTTCCTCCACTGCATCCCCATATAAACCATGCTTGCTTTTTCCTCTGAAACTTTCTGAAGCATATAGAGCGGTATGGACATGAAGATAAGACAGGACAAGAAGAAATGGTGCATCAGTATTCCTGGAAAAAGAACAAAATAAAACAAACCCCCAAACCCTTAGTATATTTTAGCAAAATTTCTACAAAGAAATCTTTTTACAGTAGAGCTCAAAAAAACCCCAAAAAACAACCTCACCAAAAAAGAGGAAAAAGAATACTATAACTGATTACAGGGTAATCTGGAGCACACACACACAGAGTAAAAATGCAATTCTTAACTGTATACTGAATTGAAAGCAAAAATAAACTACAAAATCTAACTAATTACTGTTTGCTATATATATTGAAGGAGGACTTGTTCAAAGCCAGGAACCTAGACATTTTAGGCTACAAGCACCTCTCTTCATTTTACAAGTATGTATTTAAAAGCCTGAATAAAACTGCTGTTCAAAAACATACTTTCAGAACTACATATATATGTGAAACACAATTGCCTTCCTCACAAGGTCATATGGAAGCTGATCAACTAGACTATTATGAGGACCAGGGTCAAACATACCGTAATATCACTGACTATGTCAAACCAAGTATACTAGTACTTTTCCTCCTTCTTTATCCTGGACTAAGGTATATGACCAAATCTTCTCCTGCCATTTAATGCTCTGTGTGTGTATGCATGTGATCAGTACACAACTCTACAAGTATGTTGTACCAAAGAATAAGTAATCTCAAAGTACATACTAATATAAAGAAATATTTCTCCTTGCACAGTAATGAACAGTCTCCATTGTCTTCAGTCTATTTCCTGAACTGATACAAAAGAAAGAGTGCAATAAATAGACTCTTTGTAAATTTTGCTGTTCATGCGATCCGTCAACACGATATTATGATCAGTTCCAGCAGGTTGTAAAAGCACAGTTCAAGTAAGAACTTTTTCTTATGCATTATTTATAGAACTTTACTTAAAATTGTGCAGTACTAGCCAAATTTATTGCTATATGCTCTAACAGCATTTGTAGTACATTACGCATATTGTAAACATCAGTTGAATCACAAAAGCACTACCCAGAAAACTTGTCTGGATCTCACCTTAAAGCACACAGATAATTACAGAGTATTTCTGGCTTTATTTACCATATTTTCCCTCGCCAATCTGTGGTGGATAATACCTGTGATTCACGTCAACATCAAAGGGAGACTATAGATTTCCTCACGCAGCTGATTCACCCACCCTTTAAAGGTGGATGCACATACTGTTTCTTTAAAATGAAAAAAAATTCTAACCTTTAGAACCTGAAAACAAAGTCTCTTAAAAAAACGATTAACATTATATCAATACTTTACTCTTAATGAAAAATAACTAGGTTTAATCTAGTATATTTATGATCCATTTTTCCTCTCTCCTTGGTTGGATCTGTTTTTGCACAAGTCACATGGTTAAAGCTTTTTTTTTTACTGGCATAGGCAGCAGTACATAAACAAAAAATGGGAAAATTTTATCCAGATTACTCGCTTGATAAGTGTGTTTCTGACTGGGACTTTTTCTTCCTAAAAAGTTTCTACTTTTTTAAAAAAATGACAGAATAAATAGAACATTTTTCATGTGGAAAATGGAAAAAAAAAAATATTTGAATTCCCTTCAAATATTTGTGCATGCATCCTGTATTATCTTAGTATTATAAAGTATTGATTAATTAAAAAGAAAATATAAAAAAAAAAAAAACAATATTTTTCATAAAAGATAAACTTTCCATGAAGTTGTGTTTGTTGCTATTTGAGAGGTCATATATGTGAGAACCTTTCATTACTGTAGCAACAAATAACACAAGACTTCTGAGTCAATTAAAAAGACTGAAAATGTCAGCACTTCAAGAAAAAAAAAGTACACTTTTAAGTTTAATATTTCATATGTATATTAATGTAACACTGACCTTTCATTAAAGAACATTTCTGCAAGGCAGCTGATTTTTGTTTTACAACCTGCATTTTTTACTGCATGGGATTATCTTTGACTTCTTCCTTAAACACAGTTCACTGAATTGAGAGTAATATACAAATTCTAGGGTAAACCACCACAAAAATCTACTTTATACTTATAATGGTGCAGGCACAATTTACTTTTCATGCAGACTGCCTTGTTCTAATGTCACAGAGACAGTGCATACTTCTAAATGTATATCTGTATTGCTAAAAGTGAGTATCAAAAGCCTCCACTTTAAATGTTATTTTCAAGAGATAATAACACAGGTCTGGGTTTTTGCTTTTAAATTGAACTGACACAAAGATCTAACTTTCATGAAGAGTCATCGAATCAATGATTGATATGGAAGGGCACTACATCATTCTCTCTTTGCAACTCAAATTGACAGGTTCTGATTGACAGCTCACTGTCAGGTGGAGAAGTGTCTCACCTATTAATATCCTATAAAAGATCACAGGCAGCTATTTATCCCCTGCCAAAACTCTTTGAGGAGAATCATAACTGATTACTTTTACCATGACCTTGAAAATGGAATGACAATATCAGCTAGTAGGCAGGAGAGAAATTTGACAATAACAGCTTAACTCCTGAACCACTTCAGTAAACAGCTCCTTCAAAAACATATTGCCACTATCTTTTACACAGTTCAAACACAGGGAACTTCAGTTTCAAAAGATCTGAGATTCACTTACTCAAATACAGTAAACATTTTTATCTTAACATGAATCACAGAGTCTTTTCAATTTACTGAATAGCCAGAGAGATTACACATATCTGACATAAGACATCCTTTAATGTGTGCTTAACTGATCTTGAAAACATCTAAAAGCATCACGTTGCTGGTGACTCCTCTGCATATTGCATAGTACTAGATTCTTCTTTTTTAGTGCGAGGAGTCTTTACGTTACTCAAGCATTCAGTTCAGGCTGGAGCTGTAAAACACAGCTTTAAAGTGGGTGAGAGTGCAAGTTACAACTAATCTGACTCTGTGCTTCACACATGGGTCTTTTCTCTTTTTTCCTGCAATTTTGCTCTAAATACTTGCATTGAAAACTCCTTGGGTACTTTTGTTTGTTTTTGTGTGCATTGATGTTAATCTGAGACCGCTGCAGCAGAGCAACAGGTGGGGCTCTGAATTTGTTGGCCTGTGGTTGTCAAATCAAACTGAGATTTCAGGTATGATTCTGTACTGGAAACGAAATGGGAACATGACATGACAGGGCTCCATTTTACTTTTTCACAATACATTCTAAATTAACCTTTAATATGATGGACAGTACAATTTTTCTGAACAACTTTTTTTTTTGCTAGGTGTGAAATTATCCTCACATTCTGCCATAAAGTACATATTTTTAACCCGTTAGACCACTACACCCCCTATACCAGTGGAGGTACTATGATTCACAGCAGCTGACTATGAAAGCAGATAAACTTGGCTTTGCCTGAGCTGGGCAAACACTGTGCTGTGTTAAAATTGCGTTAACAATTATTTCTGTAATCCCCAAAGTCTTATAAATTACAGCTAATTCACCCATAAGACTGAAATAGCCTGCGAAGAACTATTTTAAATAGATATAGGGGTAAAATATATTACCTCTTATAAGAATAAGTACACATGATTTAATAAGACTTATTCAATGAGAATATGTCATTTTCACATAGCCACAGTACACCAGAGTCACAGCTAAGATGAAAGAAAACAAAAATGTTCCAGTATATAATCTGAAGATACATTTTCAGCACAAATGTGTAATAGTGTGTCGATGCAGGCAGATGCAAACCTAACTTTTCCTTTCCTGTAACTCTCCTTTTACTAAAAACATTCTCCTTATTCAATATCCCCCCAGTGGATAAATTCATTCAATGCTTATTCCCCACGGCTCCCTCCTCTACTTCCAGATTAGATCACCAATTAGACAGTGCTCTTTGTGACTGGAGTGGCTGAATGCACTTCATTAAGCCCTGTTCCTGCAGAAGAAAAAGGTATACCTTGGCTTAGTTGTATCAAAGCAGGACTTTGTCCTACTACCCAGATTTCGTTTTGCTCTGACCGCTAACAGTGCTAAAATCCTTGTTAGCATGAAAGAATTCATGAATGAATATTTCTGTACCACTCTCTTAAAAGACACACCTTAAAACACAAATCTCATATTTTCAAAGTTTTTCAAAACCAGAAAAGAGAACTCCAGACCATGTGGGGGTAACTTATCAAAACCAGAAAAGGTGTTGAAAATGGAATGAGAAAGGGGGGGGGGGGGAGATGGGTAGGGAGGGGGGGGGGGGGGGGAAGTAAAAATATGGAAAATCTGACTCTTTCTAGAAGATATTAAAAGTAGGACGTGTTACTACTATATCTGTATTTTTGAAATGATTCTTCCATGCAAATAGCCAAGATACTTTTGACATCCCTAATTTCATGCCTATTTCTTCCTTTAAATGCTTAAGGTACACAACTCATACGTTTTTATTTCCTTTGTATATAACCTTTTTTCTCCCCTTCAGAAAGTACATTCTTGTAAGCATGGGGGAAAAAAAGAAATTTCTCACCTACTACACATTATTAAGTTTACATTACTAAATCCCTCTCCCCCACAAAACTTTGGAGCCCAGTATACTGATATACTGCTTTTTAGAAGTGTTCCATTTAAAATGCAGTCTGTCACTCACTGCAGAACTAGTTAGGTCCTTAATCATTCTTAAATGACTTAAATGACTAAAATCTTCCATTTTCAGATGGCCTTAAAGTATATGAATAAATGTTTTAGCTCTTCTGTTCAAAAGGAACAAGCAGAGGGCTGAGAAAAAGGGATGAAGATCCAGTAGAGTTGTTATGATTTATAATTTACTACCCTTTTTTAATATATGTGCACATATACATTGTGTATACAAAGATACACAAACTCCTCTCTATAATTTGTATTTTGCTGTAAACTATAAGGAATCTTCTTGTAGGATTCATAAAAACACTTGATTTCAGAACTCTAACTCCAGTACAACATGCCAACTGCCTGATCTTAAGACCTAGTGATATATGGAAAACCTCTAAACCACAGTCTGCTAGATTACATGAAAGTAAATTTGAATGTGTGTTGTAACAGTGTTTCAAGGACTGAAATAGAATAGATAAAAAGAAAATAAAAAATGTATTAACAGACATTACAAAATTTTGATTATGGCTATGCAATCTATGACTGAAAAAATAAATCTGCATGAAAATTGTTCAACATCATCTTCATGACAGCTTTTGAATATAACCATGTTTGTATGCAAATACTGTTTTCCAGAAGTTAGATTTCATTAGGATTTTTTTTTTAAATATTATTATTGTGATCAGCTATCCAAAATTGTCAGAGAGGTATTCTGTATCATAGAGTAGTACTTTTGTGTTGTTAATTTCTGATACGTTAAAAACAGGTCTCTGGCATTTTCCAAATTTGGATTGTCTGTGCAGTTGGTCATTAAAGGACATGCTGAAGACACGAGTGACAACCACATTGAGCTTAACATGAAATAATTAGCATCCATTTGACTTTCAAATATATTGTAATGTCTAGAGAGTGTTCTGATAGGTTTACACTATGTACACACAGTTGCTCTTGGGAAAAAGTAATTACAATTAATGTACACTGAGCGGACCTGCCCACTTACAATTAGGGTGAGCAACTAAATTAGTATGTGTTTTCACACACTGGATCTGACACTTGTATATTGTGTATATTCTTCTCCAGTGCCATTTCTGAGCATTGAGTATTGTATTTGCTCTCTTTCAATCTACCTAGGAACAAATGAAAACAGTAATACACATATCCTAGACTAAGGAAGAACAAATACAATATCAGCTCTCCAAAAACCAGACCAAAGTAAGTATAACAGCACATAGCTATATGCTGTGAAGAAATTATAAGAAGACTTGACAAATACAAAATCTAATAATTATATACATGGTAAGAAGTCATAAAGCTGACAATATGACCGTGAAATAGCTAGAAAAGAGAATAATGTCAGGAAGTCCATTGCCTGAACTCTGAAGAACTCATAAAGGTAATATAGGTAATAGGTTTAATAAACTTACTTAGATAAAACATTTATGTTGTAATTGTTTTATATATATAACTATATTTGCATTCATAGGTATTTTATATATATAGCATAAAAGGGCTATATAGGAAGTACCAGTGCTGTTGAAGATTGGAGCTTCATTATATATTTATTGTAAAGATAATTAACCAATTAAAACATGCATGATAGCTGATGATTTGTAGTTTGATGATAAAATGTATTAAGAACCAGTGAAGGCGAATGACTGAATTCTTCAGAGTCAACAATTCAGGATTGTTTGAACTCTGGTATACTTGTACACAGGGATTACTGGTGTACAGGACTGAGCTTGTTACTTACTGTATTATTTAAACAAAAGAAGCCTGTATGGCAAAGCAAGTGTTGAGTCAAACGTGTGGCTAAAGGAGGGTTGAGGGAGCCTGCTCGCTGAAAGAAGTGGAACCACAAGAATGCTGTGGAGCTTCCAAAAACCTGATGGCCCTTCACTTATGAGTGCCAGATGTCTGCCTGCTGCTGCAACCTGGTTGCCTTTTGACGGCCATTCCCCTACAAATGGCCAAAGTCAGTACATTAGTCATAAAAGCAATGGTCTGCTGGTGTACTGGAGTTGACAGGTATGAACTATATAATGTCAGAACCAGTGTGTCAAAGCAAATATTGATTTTGTCGCTCACGCTATTATATGGGACAGATCAGTTCAGTGAATATTAATCTAATTACTCCTATCCCCAGGAGCAAGTTTTATGGTCATATACTTTGCATGTGAATTCACTACAGGGCACAGTTAAGATTGCTCGAATGCCCTAATTGCTTCTCAATGCCTTAATGTGCTTGGATATTCTTTAATTTAACATTGACTCTGAATTGTCTGGGTTATAATTCTTACTATAATTGCAGCATTCCTGGTACAAAGTTTATTGTAAATTACAAATATGTGCTTGACTTCAATTTAACATCACTTTTGTCTGGAAACTACATTGAGAACTGAGGCCAAGTGCCCAGCTGATGTGAAGCCACTTACCTCCAGCTGAGTCAACAAAGCTATGCTGACTTAGATGATATATTGTCTTCCCAGCTCTAAACACTGACTAAGCTATACAGTAACACTGTGGATGTTATGAATATTAATAAAGTTAAAAGAGTTACTAGTTTTCTAGCATTGATTTCCAATCTTGAACTCAGCTGTTTTGGGGCTACCATTTTATTGTCATTGCATTGAAATCAATGAAACATTCAGAGATATCCAAAACATTACAAATCACTACAGGCACATTACCTGCTTGTAAATCACGGAAGAATCAGCCAACATATAGTTAATGTACTCAAGAGTCTTTTAAAATCACCAAATGCTTGGTCACTAAGCAAATAACTTCTCAACAATTTTCAAAGGGCGGTATGTGTGTTTGTAGTAAACAAAGTACTTCACTGTTAAATTAGAATGCAGATGAGAAGGTATCTTTATACCTATCACCATTGCCAAGAGGAAATAAAGATGGTTTAGTTTATTTATAAATACTCATGAGAATGTTGATTGTTGGGAAGACTTACTTACTTAAAGAAATTTGATATAAAAAACATTTTATTTTGGTATGATGAGTAGAGATGGCTACATCAAATATTTATAATGATAAAAATGATAAAAAAAATGCAGTATGAGTTCAAGATTTTAGATAAACATTTTTTCTTGCTAACAGTCTTGATGACTACTACTGCATGCACTCATTAAATCTAGCAAATTTAGCCTCTGATTCCTTGGTATAAGTTTTCATTCAGCAGTGACTCCATGTGAATATATTCACAGTAACCACCTGGTACATACTTTTTAGAATAGTAATTAAGGGACTTCTTATGTCTTAGAACATGTTTTTACTTTTGATTAACTATTTTTTGAAATGGTGCAACCTGTTTCAAAATTGACCGAGAAAAATACTTTGGCATATTTTTCAAGAAGTTAAACGGATTAAATATTTTTGCTCCAATTATACTGATTTATATTTCAGAATATATAAATGTATACTGTTATGATTTGATCCTATTAAAAGCCCTGTAGTGACAATTATGCCAAAGTAGCTAACTTTGCAAAAACGAAGAATGACTTAGGATGATTTTGTACATCCAATGTTTAGGTGACCCAATGTGATGGCTGTTCAAAAAACCATTTATTTCCTAACTTCTGTAAAGCAAATCTTTTCAAAATTAATCTGGCATAAAAGTGGAGGCATCTAAAAGGACAGTAACTTAAAAAATTGCCCTTATGAATGCCATTTTATGGATGCATCAAATCAATGATTAAGAACAGTTTCCAATTCCAGAAAAGTCATGGAATAGAATCATAGAATCATAGAATCATTAAGGTTGGAAAAGACCTCTAAGATCATCGAGTCCAACCGTCAACCCAACACCACC